TTTACGACCTGGTCACGGAATAAGCACGTTGACCCCTGAACTTTGCTCGATCATGCCTTGGTGCGAGTTTTCGGCACGAAATCCTATATTCAAGCACACCTTAAAACTTACATAAAGGTACACGCAACTGAAGAAACGAAACAGCCTAGAAACATGTGTTGGCGCAAGTTTTCGGCCATGTTTTTTTTCATGCACAAAATCCTATCTTTAAGCACACCTTAAATATTGCGTAAAGGTACACGAAAATGAAGAAACGGAACCTTTATGCATGTTTTAAGGTGTGCGTAAAGAATGATTTTTGTGTGTTTTCCTACACCTCTACCTTCCGTGACTGCCAGCACCCAATTAGATCAAATGGTCATTGCCTCCAGTACCGCGCAATTGTGATAAATGTGGGGGCTGGGCGCGGTAATAGGTCAGGAGCCGTAATTTATTTTCCCTCGATGGATGGAAAAGTTCTGTCTTTCGCCACTTGAGATAATAAATCTTTTGTTCGCATGATATAAATGAAGGGGTGTTGTGAGCTGGGCCAGCCCGCGGGTGACCCACATGTACAACCCCCGTGCTCACGGGGCAGAGGCCGGGGAGGCATGAGTCAGATGCCGGCAGCTTGGGAACGGGAAGGCGGGGTCATAAATCAGTTCAGGAGGGTAGAGTCAGGCCCTGGGGCGGGGACCACCGTTAGCTTACCCCCGAGGCTAACCTAGGGACAGCCCCGCTGTAACATACACACGGGAACGTATTTCACTGCTAACAATCTAGCCTAAAACAGGCCACTGTAAGTAGCCTCCGTAGCAGGCTTTTAGGATGAACTTTTTTTGTTATTGTTTTGCTTATCATTTACTGTATTACGAGTGTAAATTAGTGGCCTATTTCTTGTAGTAACCGCCTGTCACTTCTAACAGACTAGCCTACAAACCGGCCACCGTGAGTAGCCTCCTTATTATTGATTGTTATCTGGCTGTATGTCAGTTCTGACAGCACCTTATTTCTTATAGGAAACTGACATATATTCAGAATACAGCACATCATTAGGAAAGGGACCACGGGTAAGCCTGCTGAGGAGGCTACCTGTAAGGGTGTAGAGTTTGGATAGTTTGTACAAGGAACAATGGAGATGACTATGTTTACAGGTGATATGGGACGACCTTGATTTTCCCTTAATGCCCGTAGGGTAACTTACCACAAAGCAAAGACAAAACACAACAGATGGTGGATATGTTAGGACGCACACCCACTTCATAGGAAAAAGAAAACTCTGAAGAAAAAAAAAGCCACGGTCGCGAAACTTGAAAAAAATGACAATAAATCTATAAGATGATGTAAACTGTTTCTACCTCTCTCAATTAAGAAATAATATTGTAGAAGATGCATAACAACCTAACGTCGAAATTTCAGCCTATGTGGTGGCATAGTGTCTATCAGACTCACACAACGTGGGTTAAAAAATAGTAAGATTTAGCCAAAGAGGGAGAACAATTGGCAGGGGAGTTTAGCTACCATACGTTCATCTTTCTGCTAACTCTCCTGGCCAGTTATTTCCCTTTTTCCCAAATTCTACGGCCCGTATCCCCATAGTGAAGACTGGTGGAGGCTACTGGTGGCTACAGAAAACTGGGACAAACCTTTGACCAAAGGACAAGACTTGCTAACGCACGTGCTTGTTTCTGACCACTAGCGCCCCGCAGTATCACCCCCTCCCTCCCTCTTTCTTCCACTTCTGTCCCCTAGGCTCTACCAGACTAACTACGCTGGCTATATATATATATAGGAGAATGATTGCCAGGGGAGTTTGGCCGCCTTGTAGATTTGACTGGCACAGAAACTACCTCCCCGCAGCCGGACTCCCTTGGCCAATTTTACTCTCTTTCTTGCCGAATTCTACGATCGGTATTCCCGTAGAAAGGCCTGGTGCAGGCTATCTGTCCCCAAGGACCTGTCACAGGTGGAGCGTTTTGTAAAATATGGTCGCGATCAGAAGGTAGACCGTACACCTGTGGGCACACAGATCAAAACCGCTTACCGACACACACACAGGTGCACAAAAACAACACCAGGTATCAACAACATAAAAACTACGCGATAAAGCTGTTACAACCACGTTTTTATCTACAGCTATTTTTTTTTCATTCTTTTTTTTTACGTGTGACGCGAATCGAGTAGTTTTAGGACGCGAAATTGGAACAGGTTTTTTCACCATGATTGAAAAGCCGTTATTTCTTTCTACCTGCGAGAGAATGAAGTCCCTAGGTACCACCTTACTAGACAGGTGTGTCTATTGTTTAAAGCCCACCTGAGATTTCGGACACGTCAAAACAATGCAAATATTCCAAGCTCTGAAAGACATATGTTAAAAGGGCTTTTGCGAAATTGATGTACTGTTTTTTCCCATGTTTTGAATACAAACCCATTTGTCAAAATAGCTATTTTGTGAGGTGTTAATACTTATCACCAAGTTGATCAGTTGAACAATGTTGAAATGTGAAAGAGAAAAAACTATTTATTTTAGAAATTTTAAACCAATCCTAAAATCATTATCATCCTCTCTTGTTATACTGGAAAGCTATGTTTTAGTTAACTTAGCCTTAGGTTTCATTAACTGAACTTATAATTTATATCAATATCTAGTGTATCTCATAAAAAATCTACTAAAAGAATCAATATGCCATTGTCCTAACACCTATTACAAAAAAAGCTAAAGAAATCCATTCTAAATCTGAACTAGTGTACCTCATAAAAACATCTACTAAAAATCAGTAAGTCTATGTCATTGTCCTAACACCTAGCATAAACAATAAGGATATAAGAAAGGTTATGAAATCCATATTAAATCTGAAAAGGAAACACATGGAGTTCAAAAAAATTCTACTTTAATAACTTTTATTTAGTGCGGAATCTTAGATGATTTTGTTAAAAAAGGAACTGTCGATAATCAATATATCAAATCTGGAAAAATCACTTCAAAACTTTCTTATGACATTCTTCTATTGATTTAGAAGATCCACATGTAAAACGGTTTCGTTTTCATGATTTATCAATATATAAAAGACACCACACCTGTGGTAGGCGAAACTCAACCAGGGGTAGGGATAGAGTAAAATACAGTAAGGGTTTATTTCAATTTTTATTAATTTTATTTTAGCAGTTTGTTACTACAAACACATGGAGGGGGAATTTATCATAAACCAAACGTGAACTATATTCCAGAATTAATATCAATATCGCTCGACAACATCAAAACAGCACGCCGCTATGATACTAGTGTATGAATCACACCAACTTGCCTTACTATATACGACATAGCTGAAATCCATACACCAGCACATAGGATAGCTTACATGTTACATTTTAACACAATCTCACGCACTAAAACATCTCCGATTAGGTAAAAAAAACAGCTCAGCGGGCGTCTGACCTTAACCAGTTTGGATTACACGAATTCGGAGAGCCAAATTGAATAAGTGGCAGGCTGTATTCGCAGATTGTCGCAAGGCTTATCGTCACAATGCCTCCGTCTCAGCGAGCTTCTGCCAAATTAATTGAGTGTTCAAGGTTCCGTGTGCGCGCCGTACCGCCTCGGTTCTTCCGCCCCCATCTGGGAAAAGTCAGTCCCCTTTGTGTCAGGCGAACGTCTCTGGCTTTCTCTCCACCTGTATACCTGCCTTCTGTCTAAACACGCGAGGCTTGGCTGTGTGCTGTGCACACACATTCACCCCCTAATGTTTGTAATATGGTCTAATACCCGCCCTTAAGCTAGGTATTACGGGCCCGACATTGTTGATACGGCGCAGGAAAAACTGTAGGGATAGAGCTAACAGTGGGGAGGTTTTGAAGCGAGGAGAGCCGAGGGAGTAGAGACAAAGAGTAAGGTGGTGTTATTCGATACCGAGCTATTGAGACCGTGATTTCCTTTCCTCTTGTGATGCTGGAAAACTCCGCGAAAATATCGAGCGCCGCGTCTTTGTTGGGCAGTCCGCGGAGATGGCGACACGTCCCCGAGGAGGGATCGGGTCACTAGGTGTCGTCACCCCGCACGGCGAGCGCGGGCGTGGCCTGGGAATAAGCCCGGGCCGTCCCGAACCAATTACCCAAATTGTAGCGGCGATTCGCCCCATTTCGCGCGGCGCGCTGCAAAACCAATGTTTGGTCGTGGAAAATTAAATTTCATTGTCTCCCGACCCCCTCCTCTCTCATTGCGTTATCAAAACAGCACGGCAAGCGGGTAGGAGGGACTAGGCCAAGCGGTACTGAAGTATTACCCATTACAACGTAACACCGGCTATCCCAGCCTAGATGGGCCGTGACCAGTAACCTACCCCGTCCTTAAAGCACGGCTTTGGAATCGAACACATCCATCTCCAACCTTCTCAAACAAAATAGGTGAAAGTCATTCTAGCGTCGGAAGTCATCTCTTTTCTCTCAAGCCTCGCCTGAAGTGACCGTTTCTATAGTTCCAAAAACTCTGTGGTTTCCGAGTTATTAAAAATTCATACCTGCCCGCCCCAGTTTTTCTGTAATCTTAAATAAGCGGCTATGTTTCCGCCTATCTTTCCTCTCTCTCTGTAGCGCTGTGGTGACAAGAACAGAGTAGCGCTTGTCGCATTGAAAAAGCCCACGTTAAAAACACTACCGTCTACGCAAGTCGGTAACAGTAGATCCTCTTAAAAGATGACTCAATGTTGCGCAGTCCGAGATTTATTAGAATTAAAATCTGGCGGGGAGCGCTCCCCAGTGTCTATCGTCTTTCTTTCTTTATTTTTAGAGGCCGAGCGAAAATTATAAATGACGCTAGGCAGTTCCGAGTGAAAGCGCTCAGTGCGCACGCGTCGCGTGAGGGGAAAGAGTTGTGAATACATCCATAGTGTAGAACAGGTGCAGCTGGTTTTACAAAGCCAATATATTTTCTAGCGAGTGTCGGGGAACCTATAGGAGTGTTGTCATCCTTGGCTGCGTGTTTTGGCGCGGACTGAACCGTCCCTTCTTGCCTTCCAGATGATGAACGGGAAACAGCATATCAGCATGCACCCTCCAATAACTGCCGGGCCCAAGTACACCCCTCTCCACCGTACGTCGGAAGCCATGCGCCGGCACTGTATGACAACCCCCCCGGTACGTACGTATGTATATATGCATTAAGCCACGGGCACCCAGAACTTGTCAGCCCGGTATAGACTTCCTTTATGTTTTTTTCATCGTCGAACTCCAATAACCGTGGAGTAAAGGTTCATTTATGTGTTCAGCCATCCCTGTTCCATATTTTATGACCCAAGTCAGATTTTCATTCTGGCTGTGTTTAAAACACTATCTCGGGCCTATTCCCCTCTGACTCAAAACTGCATCTATTTGCAATTTCAGAGCAATATATTTGCGGGGTTGGATGAGAGCCTACTCGCTCGTGCCGAGGCACTGGCGGCGATCGACGTTGTCTCCGGAAGCGGCGTGAAGCACTCCCCGCAGCTGCTGCGGCCGGACACCGGCTATCCCGGCATGAACGGGACGGCGCACTCCCCGGCGACCTCGGTGGCGGGGCCGGGGCCCCACGTCTCGCACCCTCTACCCCACCACCCGCACAGCTTCGCCGACAGCGAGGCCTCCCCGTTCGATCAGATTCCAACGACGTCTCTGCCGCTCAGTATGAGCATGACGGACCCGAACTCTCCCGTGGTGTCCTCCGTGTCATCCATGGCGCCCACACACCTCCCCGGGATGCACCCCGCCCCCACGGGCAACATGACAGGCATGTCTCCCCACCACCTCGTCCCCAACCCCCACCACCCCATGTCTATGCACGACCCTAACGACACGGATCCCCGCGAACTGGAAGCCTTCGCCGAACACTTCAAGCAGCGCAGGATAAAACTGGGGGTGACGCAGGCCGACGTGGGGCAGGCTCTGGGGAAGTTGAAGCTGCCCGGAGTAGGCTCCCTCTCCCAGAGCACCATCTGCCGCTTCGAGTCGCTCACGCTCTCCCACAACAACATGGTGGCGCTCAAACCCGTGCTGGAAGCGTGGCTCGGCGAGGCCGAGCAGCAAGCTCGCGCCAAGCAGAGGAGCCCCGACATCTTCAATAACGCCGAGAAGAAGAGGAAGAGGACAAGCATTGCCGCGCCGGAGAAGCGGTCGCTGGAAGCCTACTTCGCGGTCCAACCCCGACCCTCCTCGGAGAAGATCGCGGCGATCGCGGAGAAGCTGGACCTGAAGAAAAACGTGGTTCGGGTCTGGTTCTGTAACCAGAGGCAGAAGCAGAAGAGAATGAAGTTCTCGGCGCAGCAAGGCGGGAGATAAAAGACCGCTCGCAGCACGCCCGGTAGGAGAGAGAACTTATTCCACGTCACCAGTATATACATACTTCTGATATACAAACTGTAAGATAGCTCCACTCAGTCAGACTCCGCTATCGCACCGCCAAGCCCGACTAGTGAGAACCCGCACTGGGGAGACCGGGCCGCCGGCGATATCTTGTCGCCAAATCCCTGCTCAATGTAGGTGAATTTATTTCATCGAGTCTGGGCTACTGGGGGCCAATTTTGCCTTCAAGGTTCGATAGTTCGATTGGTGTAGTCCTGGGAATTGTGTATACATGTAGCAAACGCCCATATAGCACCTAAAAATGTACGATATTTCCATTCGAAATTAGCTCTGTTTTCTGTGTACGTGTGAACCCGTCGCTAATCACTTTAAGGATGTGTAACGAGGTAAATTAGCTGGCGATTTTATAGCGTCCCCACGCTGAACTGGTCATGTTCGAACGCCCAAATTTGAAAGCAATCGAGTCATTACAGCAGAACAAATGTTACCTGTGCCCGTTTCGCACCGGCCCTAATGTTTACGTTTAGCCCCGAGCTATAACAAACTCCGCCGACGCCTTTTCACCCGTATTGTTCGTTGATTGATAGCGTTAAAATAACGGTCACAACAAAACCCGCGAAAGCACAGAAAAAACACGTTTCTCCACCTCCTAGTATCGTCATCACCACGTTGCATAAAATAGTAACGAAGCGGGGGTTTCCCCGCTTGTGTATAAAATATTTACAAGTCCTCCCTTATCTTCATCATTAAGTATTTATTTGGGGAATTCCTCGTTTGATTCATTGTGAATTTTTTACCCAGTCTAGTCGACGTAAGCAGAGCTAGAAGGCAGTGTAGCCATATTCTATCCGTGCGGGGAAAATTCACACTGGTATTTATTTGCAACAAAGAGAAAAAGGTAGGGCAGCGCCTGTCTTGTATATATAGCAAAATTGTGGCATTGCTGTCATCATAGTCTAACATGAACATATGCCACTTATGCTCGATACGTGTCCTTTTTATGATGTTATTTGTGTATTGTAATGATATGATCTATAATATATACCGAAGAGCAATGATATGTTATTGTAAGACTACAGCAAGATGTACAAATTAAAATGAGGGAAGAATTTTAGATGTCAAGTGTAGGGCTAAGGTATGTACATGGAGAGCGGCCACCCGGCTTTTATTAATACAAGGGTGGTGTGCGTTTTATACAGCGATATGTGTAGACGGTTATGTAGCAGAATTCACTGTGTTTGTGCGCGGCTTGCCCCAGGAGCCAGCTACATTGTATAGAAAGGGTCCCAGTACTCTAAACATTGTTCTACATCTCCAAAAACGGCGGGAAATAAACGCACCCTGCCGCGGGGGGTACGAGCAGTAGGTAGAATTCACCAGTGTAGACAGTTCAGACAGAGATGTGCATGGCTTGTTTCAAATTTCGGCCTGGACAAGCTCTTTCACATATTCTCGTCACCAGCTAGGTTTCAATATAAGTGTTCAGCCCGTCGGCTTGTCTTCTCGTCTTTACCAGATATTTTTCAATAAAAGGCTTTGGAAAGAAAATCTGTAAGCTCGTTTCGCAAATCTATTTCCTCTTGTGTCAAAGAGCCCGGGTTTTTGTGTGGTCCTCAGGGGAGGGAGGGAACACAACGCGAACAGATGTACCCTTCTCTCACCAAGCGATGTTTATGAAATAATTAATTTTGTTACACGCAATGGGGAGGGGTTGGACTATCGCCAGCCAATCAAGTGATTGACTTTGCAATTATTCTCTAGCCCCGGGGGCTTTTATCTAAGTGCAAAATGTGACGAGAGGAAAAAAAACGCTAGATAGATAAACGAGAGCGTATTTGGCTAATGTTTACAATATGGAGAAGATACAGGCATGTAGGGGATGGTGTTTCTTACGGTCTGAGGCTGTCTGAAAGGGCTATTACGTTGCGAAGGACGAACTGAATCGATGCGGCATTTTCTTTTATATCGAGGGAGGTGCGCCGCTTACAAAATAAAAGGAGACAGGCGTGGTAGATATAGAGCTTGTTCGCGTGCGAGACAGGGCTCTGTCATGTCGCGCTACCGTCACTACCTGAAAGGAGAGAGGAGTCTGAATTTGTCGCATCGAATGATGGCGAGTGGGAAGTCAGATTCGCGTGGACAGCCCGACTGTCGAGTCCTTGTTTCAATAACGTCGCCTGGAAAGAGAGATTCGAACCCGTAACCCGTGGTCCCGGGAGACTCGGCGCTGCCAGGGAAAGATGCGTCCCGTGGGAGCTGACTGTATAGCTTCCATTTCGACTCGCCTGTAATGTGCTTTACCGGGGTGGATATGTTACACGTACGCGCTACCTGCATGCGGATGTCCCGCTGTACACAAGTAGTCTTAATTTGGCCCATTATTCGTTATGAATGTCCGCACATTACGCCACAATTCGTGCCGCCTGAGCACTTCTTAGTGCCCATCCAGCTTCGATTTGGTGCCATGTATATTTGGTGCTCAATGGTTTATGTCGATGCGCTCGGCCAAGCCGTTACAAAATGTAATATAAACTTGCCGGCCTTAATCGAGTGAATCGCTACACTGTGCAGCCAGACAATTCCCGGGGTGAACCCGTTATGTTTCTACCCTCCAGTGAGCTGGCTTAACCACAACGACCCCCCCCCCCTTAAAAATAAAAAAAAGAAACAAAATGTACGTTTTAACTATGACAGTTGATAAAACAAACGTATACCTTACTCAAAAAACGTCTAATAATACAATTACCTTGATACAATATCTGATAAAATAAAACTGCATAATGTGCAAATATTTGGTCCAGCAAATCAAAAATTGAGCTACGTGGTAGATGTGTGAAAAACGAGAAAAAAAAGGATTCAGTTGCAAGTAACACAGCATATTTTTGTTGGCTTTTATTTCTGTAGATAGTAATCTACTTAAATATTGGATCTATCCTCTTATCATCCCAATCAACAACAACGGACTATCGTGCTATTTCTAAGATTTAAAAACAGTACTTTCATAGGACGTTTGTAGATGTTGATTTTTGCCTACGCTAGACTCTATACAGTCATGTACATCATATACCAGCTCCATGCGAATTTAGAATGAGTCGACATCTCTGCCAATTGACAACAAAGGCATAGCTATCGTACTATTTTCTAAAACAGCACGTGAATAGGACGGCTGTAGATGTTGGTTTTGCCTACTCCACAGTGCATGTATAGTACATCATCGTCCAGCTTCGTATGTGAATTTAGAACGAACCGACATGAAACAGGACCTTTGCCAAACAATAACAACGACGGAGCTATCATGCTATTTAAAAAAAAAACAGTACGTGAATAGGACGGCTGTAGATGTTGATTTTTGCCTACTCCACAGTGCATGTACATCATCGTCCAGCTTCGTGTGAACTTAGAACGAATCGACATGAAACAGGACCTTTGCCAATCAAAAACAATTGTTGTGGAAGAGTCATCGTGCTATTTTTCAAAACAGCACGTGAACAGGACGGTTGTAGGACGGCTGTAGATGTTGATTGTTGCCTACTCCACAGCTAGTGCATGTACATCATAGCCGAGCTTCGTGTGAATTTAGAACGAACCGACATGAAACAGGACCTTTGCGAAGTAAAAGCCGACCCGGGGTCGCACATCGTACGCCGTCGTCTCTCCCGATAATAGAAAAACTACGGCAGGAAATATTTCTTCTCCTGGCGCGAGCGGGAGGCATAACCTCGCCGCTCTCATCGGGTACAATCAGCCGGCAATCGCAGCTGGAAATAGCCGAGGAGAAAGCGCAGACTCCAAGGTTGGAAATCACTCCTGTGTACCTGCCACACACAGGGGAATGTTTGTTTGTTCATTCGACTCACGGTTAGAACTAGATTACAGTGATAATATTATAGAAAGTCCCACAGAAGGTTACATGTTAGAAGAGAAAAATTCAGAAAGATTGCTAGGAATGTAAAACTATGTATTTTGGTGCAAGAGTTTTTGGACGCTAATTGATTTTCGTAAGGACAAGCACTGCAGACCAACTGAAATATGAAAATTGAAGCATTCATACGTTTTAAATAGGGATATTTTGCTAACAGTGGGGGACGAAAAATACAACTTTTTTCTGCAATATGTGGTTACAAGGAAAGTTAAGAGGAGAGCAGTTTTCTTTTTGTCTATAAACGTGAAAAAAATTAGAATGGAAATAATGCGATGTTACTGATGTAAAACATTTGCTTGTTTTGCATCGCAGGCTAGTTCTAGCTACTTATGGGTGGTACCCAAAAAAATAAAGAGGCGTTTCTCGTAGCTTGTTCTAGGGCTATTTGAGTATGAAATGATGACGAAAACATGCTAAGAAATAGCAGTAAATGTCGATATCAGACAGATTCTCTCATCCAGAATATTTTTTTTGTTGCTTTGCCGCCCTGAAATTGCATTGGGTGCCTTTAATGTGTGTGTGTGAAGACTACATTCTCACGGTACAATGTTATGCTGTGCATGTGTCGTCCTATACTATGAAGAAAGGATTGCTGTGTTACTGTGCTGTACATGTGGCGTCCTGTACTATAAAGAATGGATTGCTGTGTTACTCTGTCCTGTCGGAAGTGTGTACAGAGAGATGTACGGCCCCACAGGTCGGGTTTGACGATGATGGGGTCCGTGAGGCTGCCCGGCGCCCGGCTCCAGAACCCCGGCGTGCCGCCCGTGATTTATCCCGTAATATCCGCGTATTAATGGGGTTGGGATGAGCAGGCTAGCCGGGGTGGTGAGATCGGATTTGACAAGGGGATGGCACATCCTTCTAATCAGGACTGACGGAGCTGTCTCTATATGTCCGTCCTCACGGGTATAACCACTACAGCGAGAAAAAAAAAACAACCGGTAGCGGGCCTTAGAAAAAAGGAAGAACTTTATTGCACAACATGGTAAAATAAATGTATGGCAAAGTACAAAAATGATTAAATAAGACATAATATAGAATAAAAATTAATATATCCTAATTACTCAAACAACAACAACAAGAGCTAGCACAAGTCTTTGATATAGTGTTACAATCGAGTGGGATAATCACAAGTTTCGGTATTTTCTCTGATAACAATGAAGTCTTTTATGTATTTACCTATTTTTACATTGTGGGAAACATTACATGTAAAGATATATTCAAGCCTGTCTCTGGCATCGAGACTCTTGAAATCTGTTGTACTTGGTTCGAGAACTGTAAATAGCTTATTACGTAAAAATTATAATTAGTGAATTCCATAACAAAGTGAAATTCCTTAAACAAGTTATGACGGATTTTTTAAATACCAAGCACTGGAAACATTTCCGAAAAAAGTAGCACTGATCAACAAAAATTGTTTCAACTGTATAACCTTAGCCTTGATATTTTGTTCTTCCAAGGATTTACAGAGAGCAAATGAGTTTAAAAGTTAGGATATACATTCACAGACGAAAGTACTGTTTGAAATACTCGAATAAGGTTCCGATTATCATCTATTGTTAATCGGATTAACAACAACCGGATTGTTGTTAATGATTAGGAAATTTTACAACAAAAACATGGCATATTGAGTTTTGAACTTTTGTAGTTTTAAGAACAAAAGACTAGGAAAGGAATAATTTGTGATATTTAACATTTAACAACCCTATCCATTTCATAAGGTCAATGCACATGTATCTACAGCGTATCAAGACGTATAAAACAAACAAACAAACAAAAACAAACAAACATTTACAGTGTCAACCCCTGGCCTCTATTGACATTGGATGCTTATGTTTATTTTCATATTTACGTTGCTAATATTGAGTAAGTTCATGATATATCAATAATGATGACATTTTTATATGCACATTCCTTAAACTAGAATGTTTCTATTATCGTGGCACAACGTTTTTGATGTCCTTATATAGTAGAAAAAAGATAAAAATTTACAATATGGTGCAATATAATACGTTGTTATATACTGGGGTAGATAATTCACATTATAGAGAATAACACTAAATATTACAATAACATTACACGAATGTTTTACATCAATGGTTTAGTGTCATCACCGTAACCTGCTTTATTTCTAGGTCTCCAACCGATATGTAGAGATTGGAGCAACTCGGCTCTTTGCAGTACATCGATTTTATCCTATATAAACCATTCGCTAGTTATCACGACACTGTAGATTGCCTTATAAACTACACAGAAGTACCGTAAACACAGGACATTACTGTATCAATAATACTTACAGAGACTTTACAGCTATCTCATGGTAATAGTCTTGTCATATTCTAGCCTGGGTGCCATCCGAATTTGTAACGGCTCCCCCGAAAAAATCGGGGGAGCCGTTACAAATTCGGATGGCACCCAGGCTAGTCATATTTAGCTTGGGTTTATAAATTTTCAAGGACAGGGCCGACAACATCGGCGTTACAGTTACAGAAATATGTATTTTTTTTCTAAATTTGCTTGATGATGGCCAGGCACAGAATTTTTTGTACATTGGTTTTCAATTCGGTTTTTCTTAAATCCGCGACAACCCTATAAAGGTATCTT